TTTTTTAATTTCTTTTAAACTTGTAAAATAACCTTAAGTTCGTAAAATAATATTTTTTAACAAGTAAATAATAAATTCTTTTGTAAAGTTAATTAAGATGGTTTTCGACTAACAAGGGAAAAGCACAAGAATTCAATAACTTGTATTAATTGTTAAAAAAGTTGCAGTCCAAGCATTAGAAATTAAATTAAATACGAATATATATTTTTTAGACAGAACGTTTGAATCGCAATATTATTTTGCTAATACTAAAAACTAATAGGAAAAAATAGAACAAATATAAGTTTTTACGTATACAAGACTTGTAATTCACAGAAAATAGATGACTTGCCATGTAATCTCGAACAAAAAAGGTTTAGAAATGCTGTTAGATCTCATCAATTATGTTTCTTGAGAAATATAAATTGTAGTTACTTTTTGCATTGATAGTAACTTATTATTACGGCCGTAAGAAACTAGATTATCATTAGTTTTTAGAAAAACTGAAAAATAATCAATCATATTCTAATACACTCTCACTATGTGAAAGATTTAAACCACGATAATTTTACAAAAATTGAAAAATTTTATAAAAATTATAAAAATAAAAAAATAAATATTTTCTTCAATTTTCAATATCAAATAAAAATATCGATAACATAAAAATTTGTTACACAGGAATCGCTCAGAAGCTAATGCAGTTAAGTTGATTTTTTGATATTTTCTGATTTTTCTAAATTTTAATGGAATAAATAATATTCTTCTTAATTATTTAATTTAGAATTATGGAAAATGAAAAACAACAAGATTTATAATTAATATGATTCAAAATAAATTTTTAAATTCATTTGTCTAAGATAAGCATACTTATGTGTATATTATTTGTATAATCTCAAATCTGAATTTACATATCTTAATCAAATATTTAAAAAGACACTCGAAATGTTTATAATTGCACAGATTAAAGTTTAGAAACATTGTGAAACATATATTTTTTAATTTCTTTTAAACTTGTAAAATAACCTTAAGTTCGTAAAATAATATTTTTTAACAAGTAAATAATAAATTCTTTTGTAAAGTTAATTAAGATGGTTTTCGACTAACAAGGGAAAAGCACAAGAATTCAATAACTTGTATTAATTGTTAAAAAAGTTGCAGTCCAAGCATTAGAAATTAAATTAAATACGAATATATATTTTTTAGACAGAACGTTTGAATCGCAATATTATTTTGTTAATACTAAAAACTAATAGGAAAAAATAGAACAAATATAAGTTTTTACGTATACAAGACTTGTAATTCACAGAAAATAGATGACTTGCCATGTAATCTCGAACAAAAAAGGTTTAGAAATGCTGTTAGATCTCATCAATTATGTTTCTTGAGAAATATAAATTGTAGTTACTTTTTGCATTGATAGTAACTTATTATTACGGCCGTAAGAAACTAGATTATCATTAGTTTTTAGAAAAACTGAAAAATAATCAATCATATTCTAATACACTCTCACTATGTGAAAGATTTAAACCACGATAATTTTACAAAAATTGAAAAATTTTATAAAAATTATAAAAATAAAAAAATAAATATTTTCTTCAATTTTCAATATCAAATAAAAATATCGATAACATAAAAATTTGTTACACAGGAATCGCTCAGAAGCTAATGCAGTTAAGTTGATTTTTTGATATTTTCTGATTTTTCTAAATTTTAATGGAATAAATAATATTCTTCTTAATTATTTATTCGTTATCTCCTTTTTCCTAGGTCAAATAATTATTCTTTAAAGAAGAAGGCGTTTATATTAAAGCGTTTTACGTATTAAAAAACATTAATTTTCTCAATTTCTGTTTTCTGGACTTAACCACATTGGCTTCTGAGCGACTCATAAATATATAATTAATATAAAATTAAGAAACTAAAATTGAATTCTAATTTCCAATTTCAAAATCGATAAGAATAAGATAAAGATTCGTATATTTCATTACAATTACGATTTATAACAAATACCTTCCCTCTTTTAATGATTTTTCTAAATGAATCTTCTCTTATTTATAGACCGAAACAATTTTCCTTCTTGTTTCCACGTTTCTTTCTCACACTTTTGTATCGTTCATACTTTATGTGCTGCAGCCAATCAATTACTATACATAAACATGTTAGGTAATTGCGTAATGTCATTTTGCTCGCATACCATTTGTAACATGAACTTACCCTGCATGTGGTTGCAGAAACTACTTGCGAGGACGTGTAATCCAGATATCCAAGGATGGCTCGTGATTCGAAGTCGTGTAGCTATCAGATATCAGAAGATGGATCTGAAGATGCGTGAGAGAATTTTGAAATGCCAGGGCACCCGACGTTCCCCTATTCTAAAAAATAGGAAAATTATTATTAGCCAATCGAATATTATTATACTACATTATTATTAACCGAGCGAAGAAAACAAAAATATCTTCTGGTCAGAGGATTGAGAAGAATAACTTGATATAAAATCTCAAATCCATACGTGTATAATAATAGGTCTACCGGAAAATTCTGTCCGTTAATGTCACCTGAAGTTTTGTCGAATTTACTATACCTCCCAGACTTAATACCTAATTCGATTACCATCCGTTTCTTTTCCTCCAAAATTTTTTCAAGGGAAAAAGTTTGGAAAATGAAGCAGGTGTCAAGCAAACATTGCTCGAATTCTTCGCCTCTGAAAATGAGGCCTTTCAAGAAAATGGAATTCACAAACTTCCATCATCCTGGGAAGTGGTCATAAGTAACGATGAAAATGATATTGTTAGATAAATGTAAATAAATTTGTTGAAAATGTATTATTTTCTTTTACTTCAAAAACGGACAGAACTTTTCGATAGACCTAATATAATCTAGATTTTTATAATTACTGATTATATTTACTGATTATTTTATAATTACTGATTATATTTACTGATTATTTTATAATTACTGAATCTATTTAGATTAACCGTTTGCATCCGCGAGGCAACTCTCAGTCTACTCTCAGTCGCCATTTTGTTTAAATACCGTAACTTAAACGATGAATAAGACGCAATAACTATATTACAAATAACCATACATGAAATATTGAAATAAAATAATTCCATTCGTTCATCTCTGAAGCAGACCTTATGAAAATACAAGGAAAGCTTCGTATTGCTATTTCTTTACAGAGGAAAAATCTTAGAGCGCAAAGATTAAATTATAGTTATAGCAGAATTCTTGGTACCTGCAGTGTTTATCTATTTAGTTTTACCCATTCCCAGCTGTGTAGTTGCACGACGAACAAAACAAAGATATTGTAGGTCACGACATTACTCATTAGAAATGAATGAAATCCCGCGAAACACAGTGTATTTGAATTAGCACACACCGTGTCGTGGTTTTTCCGACACGATTGCAAGTTTAAAGCAATCTCCAACTAAGAAAACATGGAAAATATGAAAATATCTATTTCTTCAAGATTTTAAAAACTCGAAGCCATCAAACATTCGAAATAAAATCATCTTTATTAGTTTATTAGTTACGAAACATATATATATATATATATATATATATGAAATTTATGAATCGTAAAATATAAAATTTTTTAATTTACATAGTAAAATTACTCTTATCGCTTAGTAATTTATGAAGCATGTAATTCAAATTTATTATTTGTGAAAGTATAGTGTTATACAAAAGTACATTATGTAATAAATATATGCGTTATAATTTAAAAGTATGGTATAAAAATTTGTGCTGTAAAAATATGGTCAAAAATTTTAAAATTAATTTAAAAAGATCCTTCTTTCATAAGTAAGCAAATTTGGTATTTTTTGAATTAATAAAAATTGTTAATTTCGTGCGTCAGTATTTTTCATCAATTTTTTAATCTAAAAGAACGGCGACTAAAATCCCTTTTCACTCGAGAAAAAGGAATATATACTTTAACACCATAAAAATCCCTGACATCGGGTTACAAAAATGGCCGAGTCGGTGTGAAACGACCAATAACTTTTCTTTTTACTTCCTAGTTATTATCAAGTATTAAACTGGTTTCCTCGCGTCAACAGCTTCTCATAATACATTTCCAAATAACAAAATTGATATACGATAGCCATATACATCGAATTACAGAGCGTATAAAAAAAATTTTCAAAATACCACTTAAAAAATAATGAAGAAATAATTTTCATCGAGCGATATATCCCGAACGAAGTGCGAGAAATCGTATACCCGTAGTGAAAGTGAGGTACAAAATGTGAAGATTTTAACCGTTTGCTTCGAGAAGCGACGTGGGAGAGGAAGAGAGAGACAGAGCACGGTGGAACGGTTCGCAACGGTTCGCAAAACGGTCCGAAAATGACTATACAGTTCGATCGACGAAAGATGAAAAAATGCGCAACGTTGTCGGTACGAGGCAGGAAATTTCATGTGGAACGGCGAGAAGTAACGCAATCGCAAGCATACGCGCCTCCAGGTTCGAAGGCAGGGTCGTAGGAACTTACCTGGTGGGTTCCGCACGAGCCTATCAGAGGGATGGGTTTAAAGAGGCCGCGCAGCATAGCTTCGGCTAGCGTGTGCCTTGACGCGGAAAGCCGGTTAGTCGGTCTCAATCCTGTGTGTCGGTCGCATTTACCGAAACGTTCCACTCCGCTTCGAAGTGTAACCGTGCCTTTTTCCGAACTTTCGCCGAATATCCTTTCGATTGGCTCGTGAAAAATCGTCGTGCGTGATACGAGAATTCTTTTCGGTCGAGAAAAAACCTAACCTATATCTCGTTCTTCGTCAAACGTTTGTCACGAAGAAATTCGATTGTGTGAACTTCCCTGCGAGCCCAGTGCACGTGGACAGGATTTATAGCTATTACGCGTCTTCGAGCCTGCGCGTCAGAGGGTATGTTGCTTTTGTTTTCACGCTAATTCTAGACAGCGCACGCGCGTGATCGACAGTGTAATAGACGTTACGGTTTCGTCTCGTGAACGCTCGTCACGTGTGAATAGCACGGACGCTGCGTGCGTAGTAGCGTTGTTTCCCTCGTTCGTTCGGCGTTTTGCTTTCGAATCTTCGTTTCCAATATCGGAGAGGTTTCTTGTCTGTTGAATTTGTAACTGTACGAAGCAGCTCGCGACTCATACGTGATTCTAAACGTCGCTTTTCGTAACTCTATGGAAATTCGTACGTTCGTTGTGTATTCGTCAAATTAACCAAGTTCGCGAGTAGGGTCAGCCATAATGTAAGTTGATTTTCGAGGCGTAGAACGATGAATAATCTTCGCTCGAGTGAAATATTAAATATAAGTGTACGAAATAAATTCTGCGCAAGTGTAATGTAACACTGGATTGTATTATCCACCACGGTATCAGGAACGTCATATACACATGATACTGGCTTGTACGTACGCACAATGCACGTATCGTTTTTGTTATTTATGAATTTAAAGAATGGTTCATTAAAGACGTGCGTTATTAAATTGATAGTGCTAGTGGGGAAGTGATATCGAAGCTGCAATAAATGTAGCAAGTTTATTGGAATATTTTATTTAGCGTTTATTGCGTTACGCGTAACATAGTTATATTTTCGGTACTCCATGTTGGAATATGAAACCGCAAACTTCGAGGCCACAGTATCGCGGACTTTGATTGCAGCTCGCTGAATTTCTTTAATAGTAAGACAAATATTACTTTCTGATGGCATGAACGAATGTATTATGTTCTAAATAAGAGATAGCAGTTATGACCTCTTGACTGGCCGAGCGTCTGTTTTGAATAGAAGTGACTCAGAGTGATGTACAAATATTTTGAGAGGATATTAAATTCAATTTTGGAGACGGGATTTTTTTAAATCTGACTGATTCTGATTTATTCGCGAGTTTTTAACGTTTACTTCTATGTAGGTAAAGTTTCATATATATTCGTGCAAGATCATATAAAGTTATGTAAAGATATATAATAAATGCTACTATATAAAAATTAAAAATAATATAAAATACTATATGAAAATTACTAAAAAATAATATAAACTACAAAATTTTATTCTAATACTGTAACACAAAAATTGTATTTAAAAATAAGGTAAAACTTTATCCAAAAATTATATAAAAATTATATTAAAGAATAATATAAAATGTATAACTATATTCTAATAGAGTAACACGAAAATTATATTTAAAAATGACTTAAAATTTTATATGAAAGTTACATTAATCCAGAATGTAAATTATAAATAAAAATTATATAAACCATATAAATATGTTATAATATATAGTAATACAAACTATATTTAAAAATAAGGTAAAGCTTTATCCAAAAATTACATTAAAATATAATAATTATTATATAAAAATTATATTAAAGAATAATATAAAATGTATAACTATATTCTAATAGAGTAACACGAAAATTATATTTAAAAATGACTTAAAATTTTATATGAAAGTTACATTAATCCAGAATGTAAATTATAAATAAAAATTATATAAACCATATAAATATGTTATAATATATAGTAATACAAACTATATTTAAAAATAAGGTAAAGCTTTATCCAAAAATTACATTAAAATATAATAATTATTATATAAAAATTATATTAAAGAATAATATAAAATGTATAACTATATTCTAATAGAGTAACACGAAAATTATATTTAAAAATGACTTAAAATTTTATATGAAAGTTACATTATTCCAGAATGTAAATTATAAATAAAAATTATATAAACCATATAAATATATTATAATATAATACAGGCTATATTTAAAATATAGTAAATAAGATAGTAAATAAAAATTATATTGAAACTATATTGAAATAGTTATTATTTAGTATATTAAACTATATTGAAATAATTTATAATATAAATTATTGTATTACAATTAATATTAAAAAGATGCATTTAATTTTATTATAGCCACAAGATATCATTAATAACTTTTCACAGTATTACTCCCAATAGTTTGATTTTAGTATCATTACGTTTAGCAAAATGTAAGTTCAGCCTTCTATTTGAGATAGTTTAACAATAGGCGTCTCGCACGATTACACGGATAAGTTACATCTCATGGCGTCTGAAAGAGCAGCTGTTTTCTGGGAACAAGCAAATCGTAATTGTGAAACGTATACATCAAAGTCAAAGCACGTACTGCGTGAGTTAGATCTCACACCTTCTCACAATACGTGTACAATAGCCAGTTTATGTATACGTAATTATTTCACCGAACTCAAAATCTTCTCGTTGATATTATCGGGCCTGAACTATCTATTTACAATTGATCTCTAAATGATTAGCTTACAATGCTAATGACTCTCATTACAGTTGTACATGTTATACATTAAGTAATATAATTAAAATTTATCACAGCATCTTTCAAGTGAAGAATGTTTTCTGATTATTAGTACCACATCCAGCCATACCGTGTTAAATCGTACAGAATTTGATACTGTTCTTGCCGATTTTAATTAGTCATTGAACTCGCCGAGATTTCTGAGTTTTCCTTGCAATCAATTTTAGGATATTATTAAATAATAATATTAAATAAAATTAAATCCTAACCAAATTCTATTAATTATCTATTATCTATTATTCCAAATAATTATATGAAAGAAATTAATAGATAATAAGAAAATTATATTATTAATAAAATATCAAAATATTATTAAAATATAAATATATTATTAAATAATAATATTAAATAAAATTAAATCCTAACCAAATTCTATTAATTATCTATTATCTATTATTCCAAATAATTATATGAAAGAAATTAATAGATAATAAGAAAATTATATTATTAATAAAATATCAAAATATTATTAAAATATAAATTATATTTTTGAAATATACGTTGCTGGTATTGGTATTTATGTTTGTATCTAAATTACAACAATTATAGGCAACAACAATCAATTGTTATTAAAATTTTCATTAAAATTGGAATATTTGAAATAGTTTTAAAGGTGACGGCTTATTTATTTAAATTTTGTTTCGTAAAACAAATATTTGCAGAAGCTAGGAATTTTAATGATATTATAGAATAATAAAAAATGAAATCAACCGATCGTGGGAGCTATATTAATTAGCCATCCGATACGTATTTTTTCTCACACTGTACGGAATGCACTAATAATAGTAATCTCGATTTCCATGTATCTTCGAATTTTTTATACTTTCAACCTACTGTTGCAATCTAATATTAAAATATTCAATATGCAACATAAATATTCGAAGATTCAAATAATTATTCAAAATTTCAAATGAAGTAATCAATATATTACTTAATATAATATAATTTTTATTGTTTCAAACGAAACGATTACCATTTCATACTATAAATAGATAAATTATTATATGGCCAACCGAATATTATAAATTAGGAAAAAAACACGCAGAGTGATATTATATTTTAATTAAAAGATTAATATGGCGTTGAATATGATAAATAAATTTAATTATACGTTAAATTATTATTATTTCGATCGAAAGAATACAAATTGTATTAAGTAATATACTGATTATTTTGTTTAAAACAAACAAAATTTTATTAGGTAAAGTTTCGACTATTTTGATTAATAATATACAATTCCAATTAAAAATATTCGACATCAGAAATATTATTTTGTATCTGTTTAAAAAAATGGCACTATCTATACCAAAATATGACACTGCTTATAGGTCAAATATTTATTAAGGGAAATACATTCCACCGGGGCAAAGGAAAAATATACAGTGACTCATTAATATTCGGACTCCACGTTATTCGACAAATAATTGCATTTTTAATATAATGTAATATAATATAAAAATATAACAAAATATCTATCACAGATAGCAGAGACATAACTATTGTTTATTTATTGTAAATAATTTTTTGTATAATAAATAACAATTTATGTCAAAATTTAATCTCACAATAATATTCGAGCACTTAATAAATCTAAGTAAAAATAATTAAAATAGTAATATTTGTAAAAATTAAGTACTGGATTTGATAGATCTTTGCTTCATTAATATATTAAATAATATTTATTAATAATAACCATAAGTCTTATTTTTATTTTGTATTTTATTATTTATTTTTCCCCCCCGTTGGGTAGCCTAAGTTTTTGCATAGGTATGACCATAAAACTGTGTCAAACTCATTACCTTAATTTAATAATTAAAATTTTTAATGTATCTGAGTATTTTTCCAAATTAAAAATTTTCTTTTCTCTGATTTGTTTCGTTATGCTAACAATTTGTCAAACTAACGAATTCGGTACTTTTTTAATTTTGTAATTATAATTGTAATATTACGTATATGCAATACACTATTATCTAGCATTGCATACAGGTACGGAGAAGTAAAACAATCTGGCATTTGAATATCGATGAGAGTGACTGTAGTCCATCTTCATAGAGTCAATTTAGCCATGAATTAATGGCGGTGATTTAGCGTAGGGTAGCTGAGCCGTGTGAGTAAATTTGGACTGACCGAAATTGCCGTGTGAAGGTTCCCAAAGTGTAATCAAGTCCCGTAAGGAAAAGCGAATTGAACATACCGTTAATCCAACATTAATTTTATTCTAAGTACCTGCGTGTTACACACGTCGTATGCAAAATGCAAATGTTCCTTGCGACTGTGTTCAGCTTTGCACACCGTGAACTTTTTGTTGCAGAAATCACTAGCTGTTACACGCTAAGCAACGTAATCCATTACATTGTGCAATAATAGATCGATCGACACGTTAATTAGGTACTATACCGATTACACGATCAGCGGAAAAAGCAGTTCGATGGAATTGCGATTAGCCGAGCGGTGCTTAAATCAATAAGACGTTCGAAATTGATCTGATTAAAAAATTGAATCCCGCTATTTAGCGATGACTTATCTCGGAGAAATTATTTAAATTAGGCTCTATCCGAGCATCGAAGGCAAATCTGATCGCGGGCCTGTTGGTACCTGAAACGTTTCAGTGTAGTCAGTAGTACAAAGATAATTACGCTGCGTGTAAGTAAAGCAACTGGATATTTTTCTCTATCCTTCGCTGTGACAAATTTTATAAATTAATTTTTTATAAATCATTCGGGTAATAATTCAAATTTTGTTAGTTGATGAATATGTTGGTTAATTGCTTGGAAAATAATTTTGGCGATCTTTAATTTTGGTTCTGGTGATTTTTATAAATATATTATAAGAGTTAATGTTTTGAACAAATTTTTGGGATATATGTGACCAACAAATTTTCTTAGTTTTCGAGATATTCGTAAGTAATTGACGATTATGTTGAATTGTACCTATAGCAGATGATAAAATGAAAATTCGGTCTATGTTTCCAGAGTTTCTTCAAAGTTATGTAATATATACAAATTTTAATTTTCTTTTAATAATATGAAGGAAGATTAATTTTTATATTTATATTTTTTCTATAAAATTTACCCGTTTATGTGAAAAATGGTTGCTTCTAAATAATGACACAAGTATGGAAAAAATAGATAAGGTTTAAAATCGCTGTTATATTAGATTGAGAAAACCAATGAATTGGAAATATCGACTATTGCTGCATTTTCGAAAATATTTCAAAAATAATTCTTCTTTTTTTTATTGTCAATAGTATCATGTAGTATTGACATTCCCGTTAAAAATCAAAATTGATTTATAATATTTTTTGATCATTTTTTGATGTGATATACCACTTTGAAGATACTTGAAAAATACTGAAAATCATAAAATTTGCCATTATTTTGTCGCGTTCCGTATATGTATATTCGTAACAGTGTGTGCATCAATATCGATTGCTTTATAGGTGAATTAGTTAATTTAAAATTAACCCCTTTCTTTTGTTTATATGGTCCAACCTTTTTTAAATGATATAAGTTCATTTATTTATAAATTGAAATATTTAAAGCTTCAAATTCAAATGTATATAATATATATATATAACTTGTTAAATTTTATCGTATAATAATACAATTATTATCAGTATAAAATTATTATAAGAAAATAAAAGATTCTTTTAGATAAAAATCAGCTTATACGGCTTTTAATAATAACAAATTGCGAAAAACATGAACAGCACCAATTCTAAATTTATATTTTAATCGAAGTTGGTTTTTCACAGTGTATTTTTGTAATATAAAAAATAATAATTAAAATATAGATATATAAGTAAATGTAAAATTGGCTTTATTAAGGAATATTTTCTGTTATATTATAAAAGAATTTATAATAAAACAACTGTGAATATAAAGAAGAAAATAAGAATGGAAATATTCCTGCGAAAAAATTAATTACTCTTATATAAAAAATCAACATCATTGTCAAACCAAATTCAGATGTCATTGTCTCTTTTATAGCCATTACTATTCATTGTAATAAGCCTGTGAAATACGAATTGCCTAAACCTAATTGATGCTATGATTTAATAACAACGATATCAAATAGTGCCCGCGTTAGAACCTGTTATTTAAATAAACACAAGTTAACCACTTGAGACTTGAGAAGCAAAAATAAACGGAATAAAAGGCATGAGACTTCTCATCGCTTCATTTAAACGATAACACCGTTAGCTTGTTTATAATGTTGTTTTAAAGACGTTAGCTACTTGCTACTGCAAAGACTTTAAGACTGGAACACAAAAAATTTGTAGGAATTAATAATTAACGCGATTAGAAAGTTGTTTTAATTATTGATTATTACGAAAAGATTTATGCTACTTTTAAACAAAACATTTTTGCAACTTTTAAACAAAACATTTTTGCAATTACAGTTATACTTCTTTTAATTAATTTATGAGGGTATTGCACAGCATTAACTGTGTTATTATAACATAAATATGGGAAAAAGATCCCTATGCTTAATTAAAATTGGCATTAACTAATTTTTCTTTTTTTTTTTTTTTAATTGGACTTATATCTTAAAGAAAAAAAATGACTCATATATAGTTTAGTGATTTGTTATAGATACACACATATTTTTTTTTTTTTCATATTCTCTCATTAAGCTTGCAATTTATTTTGCAACATTCGGCAAGCTTGTTTATATTTGGGTGTGAGGTAATAACACGTATTTTCCCAGTGATTTATACTATTTACTATCGCGTTAGATCCGTAGGATGCTTTTTGTTCAGTCTTCTCCGAATAGGAGATACACAAAATTTGATGTTGGTCTTAATAACAACTTTTTGAGAATATTTTGAAAGCCAATAATTAAAAAATTGTTCAAGATAATTCCTACTAATACTTACTACTATTACCACTATTATCGTTACAATTATTGTTTTATTACTATGTTTATGTTCGTATTTTCTCTGTTTCACTATATTCTCTTCTATTCTGTATATAGCAAAGGGTACCTCCCGTTTAAACAAATATATAATTATTATTATTAAAATGTTGATTGCTATAAGATATTTAAAAATTATCGAAATTTAAATGTGTAATTACCAAATTTCAAAATAATTACTAAATACTGTACTATTTCATAAAGAAAGATAATATACGAAGTGCAAAAGATTCTTTTAGGAATAAAGATTTGCGACTAGTTCTGTAAATAAGATAAATATAGTGATTTCTGGAATGCAAATTTGGAAGGTAAATCTGAATCAAAAATATTTCTAAAATTTATATTGTCGATAATTGCTACGAAATTTCCGAAGCTACTATACTGGGAAGATGACTCTTAATTGCGACTGAACAAAATTATAAAAATCGTTAGACAATATTAAATATAAAATGACATAAGAATATGTCAAATATTGAAATAAAGTATTTAGTTTCATGAACCTCAACTTTTGACACGAGGCTCAGTGAACTCTACATGATACATTTTCTTACACAATTGACATCTTTTTTTCATTTTATATATAACAATTAATATAACAATAATTCGTTGATTTTTAAATTCAAGTCATCTCTTATTCAAAAATTCTATTCGTCGTTATTCTCATATTTACAGAAATTGACTCCGAGGTAACTAAATCAAAAAGTGAGAGAGAGAGAAAGACAGAAAACCAGAATCAAAACTACCAAAATATCGAAAACTGATTAAATTTTACAAAATTAAAATATTCGAATTATTTAAAATTTTTAATCATAGTCATTTAATTCACCGTGGCAATCTTCCAATTACACAAGGTGCGAAAACAAGTTTATAATTTCTAGGACAGTAGTGCTACCTAAATGCAGCAACACGTGTCAAAAAATTAATATTTACAAAGTTGCATGCCATGTTTTATTTTCACTCCAGCGAGTAACTTGTTAACCTCAGAGGCAACTGGTTCGTATGGAAACAATAAATTACCTGCCAGGAAACACCGTAACAATATCTAAGTACGTGTGCAAATGGAAGGTTACGTGGAAAACCATTTGTAACCAGAAAAGGAACAAGTGATAAGGTCTTTGGTTCTTTCCACCAAACTACAAACAAGTTACTCGCGTGAACAGAGAGAAAAATTATTTATCAATCGTTAATAATATTTATAAATCGTTAATGAGACCCTTCTGTCCCATTTCCTGGGCATTATTTACCCCAGAAGGCGTAAACTTCTTTCTCCACGCTGCATAATAACCCAATAATAAAACTATCTTCTAATCCCTAATCTAACAAACCCAATATCCACACGAGTTATGAAACATTGACACTGAGTATCAATAATTGAGTGTAATAATTTCCAATTTTTCCGTATGTTATTGCAAAAGTCGTCCTCGAATGAGTAATTTTGCAATTTATTTTAATTTTTGTACATTATTGTAAGAAATATGGTGGATCTTGTAACAGAAAGTCTTCGAGTCACTGCTTCCGGACGTAAGAGAAGGAAGCTAGGAGTGCAAAGGATCGAGATTCTGAGACAAAGGACTTAGGACAGCGAGAGCTAACCGGAGGAAGCATGGAGGAGGGATCAAAGGAGGAAGAGTGGCAGGTAGACGCAATAAAAGCAAGCGATTTCATCGCGAAACTAAGACGAAGTAGACGGAATCGAGAATCGTACGACGAGATCGCGGAACTAGAAGCGGAATTGCGACGGGCTTACATGGCGAAGGAGCTGCGCGTGCAGCTGATAGAAAGGGAGACCGAGCGTTACATCGCGAATGTACGAAAACAACACGCGGCACAAGTGATGCGAGAGGAGCAGCAGGCGGTCCTCGAGGACGATCTTCAGCAAAGATCGATGAGCCGTAAGGAGTCGGAGGATTACAGGAAGGAGCTGACGTCTCAGATAAAACGGAAAGAAGAGGAGAAAAGTTTGATGATGGAGGAAGCTCGCCGCGAAAGGGAAATCCTGACGGAAATCGATAGGATAAGAGAGCACTGCGAGAGATTTAGGACGCAAGAGATGAAGAACGAAGTGGCTGAAAGCATGAAGCGAGAACGTTTAATCTTTCAGGAAATGAGGGAAATCCGCGAACAGGAGGACAGAGAGGCAGAGGCAAAGAAGCGTTTCGAGGACGAGCTGTATTTGAAGGAGATCGATGAGAGGGCAGAGAAGGTTCAGAGGCTTCGTGACGAGCGGTTGCAGGAAAGGGAACGTACAATGGCCGAGATTGCTAATATACTGATAAACATAGAGACCAGGAACAGGGCGAGAGAGGAGATGATAGCCGATTTAATAATCGAAGACATAAAGAGCGAGTTGCTGATCAGCGAGGAGGAAGAGGATACGGCGAGGAAGAGGATGAAGGAGCAGCTGGCGGCTGATTTGAAAGAGCAAATTGTTTTCACGGAAGAGTGTAAACTGCGCTTTGTCGAGCAAGATAGGGCGTTCGCAGAAGGAATTATGAGAAAGATTACAGAGGACGAGAAAACTGCCAGACTCACCGCCGAGGCTAGACGCAGAATGCGAGTGCAGTATCGCGAGGATCTGGCTCGCTTGATCGAAACACGCCGTAAGATTCGAGAGGAGGAAATTCTCAGCATGGAGCTCGCTGCTAAAGAAGAAAATGGACGAGAAAAGGTTAAGCTAGACCGTATTAAAGAAGATAGGAAACGATTGTTGGGGGAGCATGTGCCGAACGTTGCTGGTTTTGTCGATATAAATTCTCTCTCCGAGGAGGAGCGACAAATTGTCCAACAGTTTAAATAATTTCACCGTCCTTCCATTTTTAATTAGTCTACCGAAACTGTCAGAGAGACACGATGCGCTTGTACGATCATATAATAAATTCACAGGATAGGAAATATATCAAACCATGTTCTCTCTGTCGAATTTCTCAGAATATGCTAGAATATTGTATTATTAAAAATTGAAATATAAAAATATGAGATTCGACAGAAAATTTTTTAATTACATTGGCGAATTTATTTAACGAGAATGATTAACTGGAAATTCAACGTGGATTATGAAAATTATAAGAATATTAAAATTGAGCCGTATACTGTAATAAAATTAAGATTATACGAATGATGAATGATGAATTATATATTTGCGAGGAAGAAATGATTAAAGTCAGGTGTAAAAATAAATTGTCATAGCATAAATAAATGTTATCAATTTGCAATGTATTTTTCTCAATTATTTTAGCTATAAGAATTTTTATATTTCGTTCAATTATTTCTTCTTGTATTTTCAAAATCGTTTTGAAGAATAATGATTTTGTAAATTTATTACGTATTCGTGTATTGACCGTGAGTTTCTGTTTCCACTCGTGTTTGTATTTATAAATGTATGATGTTATTATATGGTTCCTGTCATTGTTGCTATTATTGCCATCGATTTGCATTATTAATTTTCTCTGTCTATTTTTGAATACATAAATCAAGAATACATGGACATAATCGTTGCTTGAAGAAATACTAATCTTCTCCTTATTTATGATTCGATTTAAATATAGAACGGAAGAAAATAATTTTAAATAGGGACAGTAGTAGGAAGCAAACTATGATATTATCCAAGTTTAATAATACAAACACGAGCAAAAATAAAAATTCTACTAGTCGAAAGTCACGATTAGTATATCTATACCTGAGGAATTTTCAAAATTATTCTTTTCGAAAACGAAGCCTTAGTTTAAAAATATTATTTTATATTCTCTACTCATTTTTGCATCTAAAGTTATTTTAGAGCAGAATTAGTACAGTTATTAGTCGGTAACACCAGAATTTTGGGAACACCCTGTATAAAGCCTATTAATTATTTAATGATACTTCGTAGACACTGGCAAATTAATCACATTATCACCGGGAAACTTTGGTCCCTAATACTTTTTGGGTTCTTCATAGAGGATAGAACGAACGTACCCCTCTACACCTGTCGACAGGTGTTGCCAATTATTAAAACGCTTCGCTTCCTTTGCGAGGGTCTGAAGAAGTCAGTTGCTTAGTCGCCTGAATTTGAAACTGTCATATCTTCGAGTAGTTGGTTCATACGAATTATTGCAACAGTTTCATTAAACGTTATTGCCTCTGTACAATGACATATGAAATTGCAGTGGTTATTGAACTAAATTAAAAAATTGCGAGTCGTATCGTCAAGTTTGAATGGGAATAAAATTATGAAGAAATATTACAGTTAATATTACAATTAATTAATAAACCAGTATGCAATTTTTTCAATAAAAATTTTATAAAGAAAGCAATTCTGATTTGGATAAAATTTTGAAACTAATAAAGAGTCTAAAATTGTTTGAGCTATTTTTATCGTAAATATACAATTAGTTAAAATATTTAAGAATATATATCTACTCGTGAGATAAAATTATCAAAGGAGGAAATAAATATGCAGATATACAAATAATATACAATTTTTTTAAACAAAATTGAGGTAAATTTGTTTAAATTTTCGTGTAATGTACATTCTCGAATATTTGATCAATTTTCTATACTTTGAAATTGATTCAACTGAATTCCAACACTATATTTCTTGAATGGTCCTTTAAAATGCATTAAAATATTCAAATATTTTCTTTCATACCTTCTTATTGCATATATCACATTCTCGTGCATGATACTTATCGTGTATATTATAATACTAGTATGTATTATTTATAACTACGAAATTTATAAATCATTTGTAACGTAAATTAAATTTTTCTTAACGAAGTATGCAAAGAGACTTGCAATAATTGAATTAAATAAAATTTTCTCTGCTAATATATGTAAAAAGAGTTGCAAAAATTGTAACATTTAATAAAAGTTCAATGTGATGAAATTTTATCATTTTAATTTGTAATGTAAATTCAATAAATTCAATAAATTCAATAATCATTTGTAATGTAAATTCAATTTTTCTTAATGAAGTATGCAAAGAAACCTGCAGTAATTGAATTAAATAAAATTTTCTCTATTAACGTATTTAAAAAATATTGCAAAAATTGTAACATTTAATATAAGTCCAATATGATGAAAATTTTTCATTTTAATTGTTCCTCTGATAAATGTCATCTATTAAAATGTGATAAAAGTATGATAAAAATGGATATTTAAATATTTTTCTAAAAAAAAAGAAATAAAGAAGAAAATAAATTTTTCTATGATATGAAACATTTACGTTTTACAAAATATTTTTATCTTTACAATAGATATTATCCATGACGATGCAACACATTTAATAAAAACTTAGGGAGAGAAACTTGTATACTTTTATGTATGTTTTTATATACCTTTTGGTATATAGAAAAGACAAAGTTGGGGTTAACTGCGAAAGTTAAATTGGAACAGTGTAAACGGAAACAAGTGTTTCAGTCCCTCGTGGATTTCAGCATCATGGACCCCAAACATCGACGCCAGCTACTCGAGCCCACGGCTTATTTCAAAAACTTTCATCCTATAAGTGAATAAATTTGACATTTCTAGCCCAAATTTGACATAAATGTCTGAAATATCTCAAACCACCTACTGATAAAAATTTTGTTTAAATTTCTGGTGAAAAGAATTCATCTCACTATGATAGAATCACCTTCCTTAATATATTTACATAAAAATTATCATTATTGACCGAAATCTACAGTAGTTAAATGCAAGTGTAGATTGGATACAAAATGAAGCAAACGAAATACATTTTAATGGAAAATATTTAAATATTTAAATATTTAAAGGCGAGTGCATTTCCTTCTGCATTTTCAACGTGCATCGCGGATGAATCATGCACGCTGGATATGAAAGACGAAGGCTGGAGTATGTATACCAATTTAATAGTTGGATTCTTTTTGTTAGTTTTTAACAAGTCACCGACAAAATACCGAGTACCTCGAAACAATGTTACCTAAATAGCCGTTCTCTTGTCCCTGGACGAGTTTAGGCTTCTTACCACGGATGAGTCATGCATCCTGTTCATCAAAAGTAAAGCTAGTTTGCCTACTTTACTCGTTGGTCACTTTGGATGTTCACTTTGAACACGTGGAATTCACATGAAAACAATCTTCGTACCTTTCACTCTGCGAATCATCCACGATGCATATCCAAATTGTGAACTGTACAGTTGCCTTGAAATAACACAAAAAGATCGAGTTAGTATCTTAGCTATTAGCCATCTCGGTATGCATAACACTCTCACGCTGCTTCGATATCTTTCTTCATCGTTTCTTTGTCACCCGGTATACTCGTAGACTTGGTCGACATAGTCAGTGATAAAAATGCGTGTAAATAAAAACGTTACTATTAATCTATAGTCAGTCAGAGAGGCAAACCGTCGAGTCATCTCTGCGCGGTATCTTCCACCTAAACGTCCAGATTTCTGTTCGCATCAACGTCCACTGGTACTCACAAAAATTCCTAGAACTGGACTCATGGAAAATCATCAACGCGAACACGTGATATACTGCTATCGTGTATCAGTATTTTTCTCATACTCGTCTTTTTCTCTGTCATCAAATTCTCAGAAGTCATCTCGTAGATAAGCCGTCCAGATATTGTCCCGTACTACAGGTTCTAAAACTGGCACTACTGTACCGCGAAGAATCTAAAGTAAGGGTTTGAGAAGTATCAAAGGTGAAGCCAGGCGGAGCAAACAGGTACCCCTCTCGCTCCTATGCGTCTCGTCAGCCATCTCATCTCTGCACAGTTCACCAACATGATTCGAATAGTTTTCGATTCTTTCTGCACAGTTATCCTGCCTACTATAGCTAAACCAAACTTAGAGGAACATTTTTGTGCTTCCATTTAGTTTTATTAGTTCGGAGATGTTACAAGCCCACTTCGAGGAAGTTAGGTGTCCTGAACAGTGGTAAAGTGAGGTAAAACTATAGTAGATCTACGATCTCAACGTGTCAATTGACCCCCGAAGAATGTTGACGATGATGAGTCGAGATATAATTCCTACGAGACTCGGCTGATACCCGGAAGCCTGAAACTGTAACAGAACTATGTAAACCCAGGTCGCGGAGGCCTAAAGTTCTTGCGCGTTGCTTTTGTTTTAAGGTGTTACGTAGACTCTCACCGTGTAATAGGTCCGCGTTTCTTGCGCCTGCCGTCGATGCAGAGGCGCAATGTTACTTGAAAGATTTCTGATTTGATTAATAAGGCTAACGTTGCCTCGCGTTTGACTCCTAACGAGCGGAATGCAACGGCTTAAGTAACGACAGAAGCCGGTACATCAAGCGTAGACTATTACGGTCCCCGTCTCTCCGTTCTCTGATTAATTCCCCCGATAAATCTTAAACGCGGCTGTAACTAAATTAAACCAGCTAGAGAACAGGCCGGTTTAAAGGTAATAGCAACGTCAATCGGTTTACCAATCTGTTCGACACCAATTTCCTTCGAACTCAGACTTGACCAGGTCAAGTTCAGCGTTGCTTCGTCAGCGTGCATGGGTTTTCAAATTGTATTCTGAAATTAGTCCTGAGAAATTCCATTTCGACGATTTTATTTGATATAATGTCTTCTCAGTGTTGGAAGTGTTCGTTTCATTCAAGTCAGAAGTGATCTCAGGAAATTTCATTTTGGGAACAAGGTTAGGTGTAATCTCAAGATATTTATGGGTCTATTATGTGCAAAGAAATTTAATTTCAAGAATTTTTTGGCATATATCTGCTTTTATTTTATTCAGGATTTTATTCGAGACATTTATTTTGAGGATTTCTTTGGTATACTTACTGGTACACGAAAGTATTCGAACGCTTATGTTTCCTGCGTTTTATAAGTAAAATGTAAATATTAACGCAAAGTATTTAAAACAAAATGGCGTATACAAGGAGAAGAAG